TAGATTTGCAGAAATGGGGGGGAGCCTTTGGAGTAGAGCATTCAGCTAACTGAGTGGAGGTTGGGACCTTGGTTTGAACTAGCTCTACATCTGGCACATCAGTGACAATGGTTTCAATTATAACTTTCCCTTTGTCTTGGTTGACCTTCTATTGCAGTGCCTCTTTATGCTTCCAACCATTGTTAATGCTCATTCTGGGGCAGTTAGCTTCACTGTGCCCAAAAATATTGCAGGCAAAGCAGACCTTGGCCCTCCATTGGTACTCCACTTTATTTCAACCATACCTGATTTACACTCTTCATCCAATTGCAATTCAAAGGACTTCACCAATTTAGTATGAGCCTTTACTTTAACACAGACTCTGGCGAAGGAAATTCGCTTTTTGTTAGCTGTCAGAGAATCATGTAGTGGCTTTCAATCGCACTAGCAATGTAGCTTAATCCTTCTTCACTCCAGTATTGTAGAGGAACATTATGTAGCTTAATCCATAGGGGAATCACATATTGGTCCTCTTTGGAAAGGATAAAGTCAGGCAGCCATTTCCTGAGGATAAGTGGCCTCCCTGAGAAGAGCCATGGGCCATCTTAAAATACTTTGGTTCTAGAAGCATCTCACATGAATTTGAAAAAATAGAACCCTTTCTCATCAGCTAGGAACTCAAGGAGTCCTAACCTATCCTAGATCTTGTGGGCAATGTGATTAACAACAGAGAATGAGAGCTTTTTTTCCACAAAATACCCAACTAAGCAAGTTCCCCATTCAAGGCTTCCTCTACTTACAACTTCATTTGGTGGTTTGACCACAATACATTCTTTGTCCTTTGTGGGGTCAAAGTATTGTAGCTTCATCTTAGGGAAGAGTCCACCAGCTTGTGACTGTTGTGTTCCACTCTTGCCATGCTTAACAACTTGGCTCCATGTACCAGTTTTGGCATTACCCTTTTTCTGCTTCTGGGTAGTGACCACAACAATGTTTTCCCCAAATGGAGAATGAGACATTAGGGACCCTTTCAGCTAAGAATTGGCAATTGGGGTATTAACACCGCAGTTAATTGCACCATCAAGACTATTCNTTTGAACCATTGAGGATCTGAAATATCATCTATTAAAATTGGACATTAGTTTCCTTAAAATTCACATTTTTAATGAGTATTGGTGATTAATCATTTAAAAAACACATTTTAGTGGTGGCCTCAAAATAAGTATTCCACTTTACACTTATTCCTTAACTTCTAATTGTATCAATTAGAATTGTTTATAACCACATGAGTTATAATCTGATCCCCTTATTCTTTTAGCAGTTAATTCCANCTAGCTTTGGCATTACCCTTTTTCTGCTTCTGGGTAGTGACCACAACAATGCTTTCCCCAAATGGAGAATGAGACATTAGGGACCCTTTCAGCTGAGAATTGGCAATTGGGGTATTAACACCGCAGTTAATAGCACCATCAAGACTATTCAAATCAGCAGTAAAGGATTAATGACACCTTTGTCTTTTTGCATATTCACTCCATCGGGATAGAGCGGAGATGAAAAGGGCTGGGAAATCATAAGGGATTAGGTAGATAGATGGGTAAGAAAGGATTAGAGACAAGATGGAAAGATTTGCAAGGCAGATTCAAGAAGGGGAGGAGAGGGTTTGGTGAATAGTGACCGAAGGGAAAAGGGGTTGGAGAGCCTTTTTTCGTAAGGTTCTTACTAATGCTATAATAATTCAATTGACTTGCAAATTAGCTTCAAGTGATTATGCGATAAAATTTAAAATGAGTTTGTCGATTCTTTGATGAATAATTGATCATAGACTTGATTCTACATGTAGTTGGAAAAATTCGAACCAATTTTTTAGTTCTCTTGGAAATATATAATTCGAACTTACATGATTGAATAAATCCTTTGATTATGCCATTATTCATCCCCATTAGTATAAAATTCGAGTTACGTCCCTATATGTGGTTCATTTTTTATTTACTAATTGGTGCACATGTGTTTTACATTTGAACCATTGAGGATCTGAAATATCATCTATTAAAATTGGACATTAGTTTCCTTAAAATTCACATTTTTAATGAGTATTGGTGATTAATCATTTAAAAAACACATTTTAGTGGTGGCCTCAAAATAAGTATTCCACTTTACACTTATTCCTTAACTTCTAATTGTATCAATTAGAATTGTTTATAACCACATGAGTTATAATCTGATCCCCTTATTCTTTTAGCAGTTAATTCCAATAACCATGGTGTCATTACTTCATAATTAAGCATTCCATCTGGTCCTCTCTCAAATATGACATTGAGCATTCCATGTTGTCTTCTACCAAGTATAACACATCAGTAATAAGGTAAACTTGATATTTAAAAAATAACGAAAGATATATATTAATCAAAAGATACAAATGCAATGAAAGAAAGTGAAAGATACTGTTTGAAAATTCAAGAATGCTACAATACATAAAATAAACAAGGAATAGAAAGCTTATCGATAAAAGCATTTAGTCAGTGTCCTTAAGAATAAATTTTTATCCCTCTGAATATGAGATTCAGTGCAACAGGCTATGACATTTTAATTTCCAGATTTAACTATCGTTTCTCTACAAATGTGCATGTATAATGAATACTCTTGATCGTTGCCAAATTGAATAGAAAATCACAAGACTACAAAAAATAACAACTTTAGTGGCAGGAAAAGTCGTCATTAAAACTCTTAAATTTTTCACAAAATTATTTAGTGGCGAAAAAAAAACTTTCCACTAGGTTGTCACTATAGATGTGTCACTAAAAGTCAATAGTGACAATCTACACAAGTTGTTACAAATAATCTAAATTTTTAGTGATGATTCTATATCATCACTGAATCACTCTCAATAGCGACAAAATATGTTGCTACTAATATTTTAAACTTTCATCACTAAAACGTATGTTTTTGTCACTTAAAAATTATTTTCAGACCAAAAAAAATATTTTAGTGTCGAAATATATTGATACAAATTAGCATTCGTCAATCATTTGTGACAGAATTTTTTGTTGTCACTAATATGTTTAGTGGCAATTTCAAACTTTCGTCCCTAATTAGAATAAAGTTTTATTGCCACTAAATTATCGGTGGTAGTGACAATGTTTTGATTGTCACTAACAATTTTTGTTTACTTTTAATGGCTAGCTATATAATCGTCACTAAAAACTTATTTAGTGACCTATTTTCTGTTGTAACTATAAAATTTTTGTGACAAATTTTATAGCAGTCACTAAAAAACTCTATAGTGACGATTTTAGTGGTTGTCACTCACATAATAATTCGTAACAACTTTCATAAACTCTATATAAAATTGACCTATAATTAAAATATCATAATCTTTCAATATCATTCGAAAAAAATTGAAATTCAATCATAGTTTAATTATAAAATTAAAAAATTATGGAATTATCATAAAATTTTAAACAATCCCCCTTAAAAAAAAAAAAGCAATAAAAAAATTTTCCCTGAAGCAACAAAATAAAAAATTAGCAATAAATTATTGGTCTTTGTTCCTTCCATAACTATGAGAAGATCTAAAACAAACATCATGACGGACAAAAAAATGTACGTAGTGCTTTCAGATTAATTCTGGTCCTTTAAACACAGTCTTCTATTCTCATAAAGATGTCACAGAGATAACCACCCTGACAAAAATTAAACACCATAATAGTTGTCACAACTCTTTAATTTTAAATCACATAAAAAAGTAAAAGCTTGGAAAAAATGTCATCATAAAAATATAGACTTGGTAATGTTTAGGTTTTATGCAACACAAGAAATAAAATTTCAACACTTATTATCAAAAGATTTAGACTGAGTGATAACCAACCAAATGGTCCTTTTAATTTCTGATAACAATGTATTGCACTTTGCAATCTTAAAAATGTATTGTAGCATTTTTAGCATTGTTAACGGAGGTTTAACACGAAATATTATAGATGGCCATCATTAAAGAATTCACAATTTCTAATATATATCATGAGGCTCATTACATCAACTACTTCCTAATGTCTATAAGTACAATAGTACTTATATGATTAAAAGAAAAAGAATAAATCACCAAAAATTATGAATCCTATATGTGAAGAAAGACCACCATGCTTGACAAACATAAATGTTTTGTTCAAAATGATTGCATCAACTAAATAAAAGCTAATCTTCCAAATATGATAATTTTTTTTTAATTTTTTCTTTTGGGGAGGGGGAAGGGGAAAGGGGAGGAAGACTTGAACCTTTGACCTCAAAAAGGCAAAACCTTTACAAAAAAAGGAATATCATTAGACCAAAAGCCTATTAATTCCAAATATGATAATGAGCTGAATATCTAATCAATAATAGTTAACTCAAACTTAAAGTCAAAAAATTCAACTGTCATATTATTGCCTTATCATCAAATCTTAACAACCATGACAAACTAATTTAATGGATCTATGTTTTCATTGAGTATTAAGTCAATCACAATATGAATCTCTAATTAATATATCAAAGCACCATAATATCAACAAGTATACTACACAATTTCTTCCAGAAAGCTCTCAAGTCATTTCATAATTGCAAGTAAAATCAAGAATTAAGAACTAGTTCATAAGTTGTAATACTTCAAATGAAATTATTGTGCAACCTCAAATTTATCCTACAAAAATATAAATGGGAACACTTACCTAAATTGCAATCGCCCTGGTTGAGCCCCATATTGCTTCCATCTATCATGCAATTAAATAAAGTTTGACACCTTAAAAAAAAATATTCAAAACTAAGCTTTCATTAATCAAGTATTCCACCTACCATGAAAGAGGGTCAGGCGTAGGGGCAAACATGTGCCTCTCATCCTACATATGCTTCATCAATGCTTGCAAAATCTCATTTGTTGCATTTTGAGTTGCTCTTTGCACCTGCTCCATCAGTGCTTGCAAAATCTCATTTGTTGCATTTTGGGTAGCCTTAATCACTTCCATGTCCTTTTGTACAGCATTGAGTTTTTCTTCCTACTCATTGGCCATTTTGTTAGCTATCTCCAACTCCGATTTATTGTGGTGCTTATATAAGGATCGGTTAGGCTTCAGACCATGCTCACGATCACGTATGTACCCCGACTTATGTCCAAGAACCTTTGAGCAAATTTCCTCCTCATAAATTGATGCTTCATTCTCTCCTATGGGCTGCGACTGAAGCTCCACCATTTGCTCCTAAAGTGAAAAGACATAGAAATTTTAAATTATAGTAGTTCAATTAATATGATGATAAACAAAAATTTTAACCAAATTGATAACTTACATAGTTATGATGTGTACGATCATTCACCCAAGAGTGTTTCTTATTACTATAGTGAGTTATGTTATATAACTCAATTGGCCCAAGCACTTTACCAGTTTGAGCAGTCCACATCAATTCAAATATGTGAATTAATTTTTAAAGCATATCACTATGCATATGATACACTCTATAACTAAGAATTATGTTGCGTCCATTTCAACACCCATCTGGGCAAAAGACTTTGTCCCAGTTACATGAGGAGTGTTTAGTATTGCCCGATTCCTTGCATTTTGAGCACTCATTTTCTACATTAAAATTGAAGAAGTATCTTACATTAGAAATATTTTAAACGAATAAAGGGAAAATTGATTTTTTTTAGTATCTATAGTAAGTTCAAAAACCTTAAATTCAACAGAGGAAAAGTAAGAACAAAAATAATTCCAATCTTCCTGTGACACGTTTGGTGGTGGATGTTGCATTGCTACTTTTGTCGTTGGGTGTGGCAAGAAGTAGTTCTTGTGTAGCTTATGACGATGATTCCGATATTGTGTGTTTATTTGGGCAAATGTTATATCTTTAACATCATGGAGATTGAACGATTCCTACAAAAATAGTGAATTGTTTACATTATTAACAACGAAGGCACTGTGAGAAATAAACGTAACAACAATTGAATTACAAAATAAAAAATACGTAACTTTGTTTATTGGATGCAAAAAAACAAGAAACCCCTTTCATTAACTTTTGTTTCCTATTCCTCCTCTTATTTCCTTGTTTATTTTCTCATACTTGCAACATCTCCAACCTCTATTCAGCTCAATATACTACTTTAGACTAAACAACCACCATATCTTATGGTCAATGACCTTTTTGGTTAACATGCATTTCTCAGGTAGAATTTGTTACATTTACCCTTTGCCTCATTATATTAAAATACATAGTCTATTTGAAATGTTTGAGAACTTGATAAAGCACTTACCTTGGCCATTTGGAGTAAACTCTCCTAATTGACTTTGTCAATCTTTGCCCATTTTGTCACTTGAAGAAGTACATGCTTTCGAACAATACATCTCAACTCTGTTGTAAGTGGTTGGCATTCCAATCCTACTATTCTCCCAAGCTCTTCAGGCATCTCAACATTAAACTTCTCACTAGCTTGCTTTTTTTTAGCAAGCGCAATATTTTGGGTTGGTCCTTGATTGACCATAAAATTGCTATTTTAATATATTTAATGATTGGTTAATTGAATATTATTTATGATTAAATGTGTTAAATTTCTTGATTTTCTAGTTTGATACTTTTTATAATTGTTTGGTTTATTTTGCAGGTAAATTGGTTGATTTAAAGTAATAATGTATAAAACAAGTGAAGAAACCACTAGAGGAAGAATCATAATTGATAATGATTGAATATTCAAGATTGAAATAAGAAGATTTGAAGATATATTAGCAATTTTAATCTTTATAAGAGTCCAAGTTAGAAGAAAACTCATTTAAAGTTGGATTATAAAAGTATCATAAAAGATAAGAATTTGAAAAGTCTTTAGTATTGTGGTCATAACTTTTGACTTTGATATCTGATTGAATTTATTTTTATGGGGTTGGAAAGAAGACTCAAAGGGTTACAAAAGTGTATTTCATGAAAATTTTGTGAATCAGCCTATAAATATGTGAAATTCAAGCTCGAAGTCTGAACACATTTTGTACCCGCGGCTCCAAGATTTTATGCACGAGATTTAACCTTAAAAAACTTTTTTTTAGAAAGGAATTCTTCCCAATCCAACCTTATGTCTTGTACCTATAACTTAGATTTATTTTAGTATAAATAAGAGCTCTCACCTATTGAGAGGGGAGGATTTGGAAGATTAAGATTAGGATTATTCTTTTCCCATCTTTTGTTTTATAGTTTTTATTCAATTTTTATGGTTTGCTAAAAGCCCAACAAAGGCTAAGGGATGACCTCTCAATGAAGTAAGGTAATATTATTGATTTATAAGTTAATGGTACGTGATATTTTATTAATTCAACTTTTAATCTCTTAGTAAAGTTTTTGTTTTATAAAAAATCTTTGAGTCATTGTGCTATATACATTGATTGCTTGAATTTTCATGTGAATCAAATAATTGGTTATTTCATGCTTGAATTAATTAATTAGAATTTCTCATAAAATAGTTGATTTATTAGTTGCAATAAAATAAGATTTACCTGTTAGAAAGCTTAATTTATCTAGACTCCGGGCACGGTGAATACTTGTGATCTATAAGTAAATTCTTATATTTATTTAGATAATTCATTAATTATAACGCTTGATGTTTTCATATTATCACCGCTAAATATTCCGATTAGGATCACTTCTCAGTTGATTCTCAATTGAATTCGAAAATTGGATCATTAATAATTACTGTGTGGATTTGAAAGGGTATTCTCGATACTTTAGTATTTTCAATTATTGTTTTAAAACCAAATATCAAAATATCTACAACAATTTTTTCAAAACATTTTTTTTTTATTTTTCTTTGTGTTCTAAGTTTTTCTCAATTCCCTGTGATTCAACCTTGGACTCTTGAGAAATTTATTAATTCGCACAACCTGCATTTGGTTGATCAATTCTAAAGTTGTAGTAGTCCCCGTTTCCTTCTCGTTGAGGATGACTCTGAAGATGAAGCATGAACAATGTTGGCACATGCATTTGTTAAGAACCTAATTTTTTGATAAAATTAAAACATAAAGACAATTCAATAAAAAAATTAAAAATGCAGCTTCTATAAGTCAATATTTTGAACAATATTTAACATAATTCCTTTAAACAAACCTACCAACATTATGTTCGACATGTCCCTCTAGCAAAGGAACAATATGCACACTCGTGGAACCATGAGACTTTTGTGCAAGTGGTGATGTACCACCATCAGCACAATCCAGTGTCTGTTTATCATATGGTAATGAAAGCAGAAGCAGTAATGATAATTGTCCTCCACCATGCTTAGCAGCTCCTTGTTTCCCCAATCTGGTCATCTATGTGCAATGAAGCAAAAAAATAATACAACAAATGAATATAAATTGCATAAATACAAATGGTTTTGCACATCTATGTGTGTATATAATGGAAATACAAGTATTGCAACAGTGTAAAATTTCCTTAGTATAAAATGAATTACACGAAAACCTTACCTTTAGTCAGAGTCACATTCGTCCTTAATGAATGTATCATCTTTGTCAGTATCATCACTATAGGAATCTTCCTCGATATCATTATCATTAATGAAGTTGTCATCTTCTTCATCTACATTTAACATTAGTTGTTCACGCAATATATTATCTACATTAGTACATCCTAATGGGATCATATCATCTTTTTCTAATGATGGCATTTCATGAATTTCCATTGAATCGAAAACCTCATTAGGTACGTGTTCTTGGTAAGGCTCCTCACCAGAAATCATTTGTTCTTCAAACTATTCAGGAACATCAAATGACCCGCGAGGTTGTGTTCTCTCTACAATTTGCCAATTTTTGCCTAACTTCAGATTTTCAATTTAAAAAACTTGTTTTGTTTGAGAGGCAAGCACAAATGGTTGGTCCTTATACCAAGTTCGTGATACATTTACACTAGTAATCTTCCAATCCTTGTCTATTTGGATACATGTACTGTCTTTTACATCCCACCAATCACACTTGAATAACATAGCTCGATTCTGTCCAAGTAGATATTCTAACTCAATAACTTCAATGATCACGCCATAGAAGTCTATCACCCTTCCATCATGTTTTTCCTCCACGACCACACCACTATTTTTTGTTTTCATTTTCCTCTCACGATCTTGAGTGTGGAAACTAAACCCATTTGCATTACAACCCGTGTAGCGTTTTACTCGATTATCAAGACTCTTGGCAAGGGACAAGAGTTCTTTGCTAGCACGCCCTTCATGGTACAATTTTTTAACCTATAGATAGAAGTGAAAATTGTCAATAGAATCCTAGCCAAATAATAAAATACACATTGTTTTGATAGTAGCTACAAAATAGGTAGATTTTAACGTGCACTTACACGTTATTCAAACCATTTTGGAAACTGCGAGTTATGCCTTTGATTAACGTTCCTCGTATTCTCAGAATTTAGAATTTCCTTATGCTCGCTATACATTTAGTATATATCATTATGACCCAAAATTAGCTAATACCAAGGCATAAATCTAATGAGCAAACAATAAAATTTTAAGTACAGGTAATTAGAAAATTAAACTTACAATATAAAATCTTGAACCTTTTCACAATTATTCAACACGTAATTCCGAGCTGTTTCCCACTCAATATTATTCAACTTAGCATATATGGTCCCACCTAATGCATGACCATTATATGCAAATACAGACAACTCACTCGACTTTGCATCTCCATCATAGTTCTCGTCTCAACATTACCCAAGTACATAGAGCAAATATTCGAGCATTCATTGTCAATGTAACGCTCAGCAATCGATCCTGTTGGCCGAGCCTTATTAAGTACATATCCCTTTAGTTTCCCCATTTGCCTATCAATATACATAACAAAAGAAATAAGACACAATTGAAAAAAGAAAAACATGATTGATGCTTAAGTAATCACCTGATAAATAAATTATTAAATANAATTCAACTTTTAATCTCTTAGTAAAGTTTTTGTTTTATAAAAAATCTTTGAGTCATTGTGCTATATACATTGATTGCTTGAATTTTCATGTGAATCAAATAATTGGTTATTTCATGCTTGAATTAATTAATTAGAATTTCTCATAAAATAGTTGATTTATTAGTTGCAATAAAATAAGATTTACCTGTTAGAAAGCTTAATTTATCTAGACTCCGGGCACGGTGAATACTTGTGATCTATAAGTAAATTCTTATATTTATTTAGATAATTCATTAATTATAACGCTTGATGTTTTCATATTATCACCGCTAAATATTCCGATTAGGATCACTTCTCAGTTGATTCTCAATTGAATTCGAAAATTGGATCATTAATAATTACTGTGTGGATTTGAAAGGGTATTCTCGATACTTTAGTATTTTCAATTATTGTTTTAAAACCAAATATCAAAATATCTACAACAATTTTTTCAAAACATTTTTTTTTTATTTTTCTTTGTGTTCTAAGTTTTTCTCAATTCCCTGTGATTCAACCTTGGACTCTTGAGAAATTTATTAATTCGCACAACCTGCATTTGGTTGATCAATTCTAAAGTTGTAGTAGTCCCCGTTTCCTTCTCGTTGAGGATGACTCTGAAGATGAAGCATGAACAATGTTGGCACATGCATTTGTTAAGAACCTAATTTTTTGATAAAATTAAAACATAAAGACAATTCAATAAAAAAATTAAAAATGCAGCTTCTATAAGTCAATATTTTGAACAATATTTAACATAATTCCTTTAAACAAACCTACCAACATTATGTTCGACATGTCCCTCTAGCAAAGGAACAATATGCACACTCGTGGAACCATGAGACTTTTGTGCAAGTGGTGATGTACCACCATCAGCACAATCCAGTGTCTGTTTATCATATGGTAATGAAAGCAGAAGCAGTAATGATAATTGTCCTCCACCATGCTTAGCAGCTCCTTGTTTCCCCAATCTGGTCATCTATGTGCAATGAAGCAAAAAAATAATACAACAAATGAATATAAATTGCATAAATACAAATGGTTTTGCACATCTATGTGTGTATATAATGGAAATACAAGTATTGCAACAGTGTAAAATTTCCTTAGTATAAAATGAATTACACGAAAACCTTACCTTTAGTCAGAGTCACATTCGTCCTTAATGAATGTATCATCTTTGTCAGTATCATCACTATAGGAATCTTCCTCGATATCATTATCATTAATGAAGTTGTCATCTTCTTCATCTACATTTAACATTAGTTGTTCACGCAATATATTATCTACATTAGTACATCCTAATGGGATCATATCATCTTTTTCTAATGATGGCATTTCATGAATTTCCATTGAATCGAAAACCTCATTAGGTACGTGTTCTTGGTAAGGCTCCTCACCAGAAATCATTTGTTCTTCAAACTATTCAGGAACATCAAATGACCCGCGAGGTTGTGTTCTCTCTACAATTTGCCAATTTTTGCCTAACTTCAGATTTTCAATTTAAAAAACTTGTTTTGTTTGAGAGGCAAGCACAAATGGTTGGTCCTTATACCAAGTTCGTGATACATTTACACTAGTAATCTTCCAATCCTTGTCTATTTGGATACATGTACTGTCTTTTACATCCCACCAATCACACTTGAATAACATAGCTCGATTCTGTCCAAGTAGATATTCTAACTCAATAACTTCAATGATCACGCCATAGAAGTCTATCACCCTTCCATCATGTTTTTCCTCCACGACCACACCACTATTTTTTGTTTTCATTTTCCTCTCACGATCTTGAGTGTGGAAACTAAACCCATTTGCATTACAACCCGTGTAGCGTTTTACTCGATTATCAAGACTCTTGGCAAGGGACAAGAGTTCTTTGCTAGCACGCCCTTCATGGTACAATTTTTTAACCTATAGATAGAAGTGAAAATTGTCAATAGAATCCTAGCCAAATAATAAAATACACATTGTTTTGATAGTAGCTACAAAATAGGTAGATTTTAAAGTGCACTTACACGTTATTCAAACCATTTTGGAAACTGCGAGTTATGCCTTTGATTAACGTTCCTCGTATTCTCAGAATTTAGAATTTCCTTATGCTCGCTATACATTTAGTATATATCATTATGACCCAAAATTAGCTAATACCAAGGCATAAATCTAATGAGCAAACAATAAAATTTTAAGTACAGGTAATTAGAAAATTAAACTTACAATATAAAATCTTGAACCTTTTCACAATTATTCAACACGTAATTCCGAGCTGTTTCCCACTCAATATTATTCAACTTAGCATATATGGTCCCACCTAATGCATGACCATTATATGCAAATATAGACAACTCACTCAACTTTGCATCTCCATCATAGTTCTCGTCTCAACATTACCCAAGTACATAGAGCAAATATTCGAGCATTCATTGTCAATGTAACGCTCAGCAATCGATCCTGTTGGCCGAGCCTTATTAAGTACATATCCCTTTAGTTTCCCCATTTGCCTATCAATATACATAACAAAAGAAATAAGACACAATTGAAAAAAGAAAAACATGATTGATGCTTAAGTAATCACCTGATAAATAAATTATTAAATACCTTTCAAACAGAAACATCTATCAATATTGGACTGGTCCAACAAGGTGAATCATTAAGTGTACCATTATGTCGAAGAACGCTGGGGAAAATAAACGTTCAAGTTTGCATAGTGTCAAAGCAATCTGCCTTACAAGTTTCTCCAACACATCCAAGTACAATGTCCTAGAACATAACTATTTGAAAAAACTACCGAGCTCAACTAATGACTGACACACTTCCTTACCCAAGGATCCACGTATCGCCACTGAGAGTATCAGTTGAAGAAAANAACTTTCAAACATAAACATCCATCAATATTGGACTGGTCCAACAAGGTGAATCATTAAGTGTACCATTATGTCGAAGAACGCTAGGGAAAATAAACGTTCAAGTTTGCATAGTGTCAAAGCAATCTGCCTTTCAAGTTTCTCCAAAACATCCAAGTACAATGTCCTAGAACATAACTATTTGAAAAAACTACCGAGCTCAACTAATGACTGAAACACTTCCTTACCCAAGGATCCACGTATCGCCACTGAGAGTATCAGTTGAAGAAAAATGTGACAGTCGTGACTTTTCAATTTTGAAATACGACACTCTTTTATCTTCACACATCAAGAGATGTTTGAGGCAAAACCATCTAGAAACTTGATTAAAGTTAAGAATTCACATATTTTTCTCTTCTCATCATGGGACAACTGTTAACATACAGACAAAACAAAAAATTTATCACCTTCACAATGAAGGTGTAATTCTGGCCTTAGTCCCATTGCCATCAAATCCTTATGACCCTTCCAACTGTCTTTAGTCTTTCCATTAATATNTAGAAACTTGATTAAAGTTAAGAATTCACATATTTTTCTCTTCTCATCATGGGACAACTGTTAACATGCAGACAAAACAAAAAATTTATCACCTTCACAATGAAGGTGTAATTCTGGCCTTAGTCCCATTGCCATCAAATCCTTATGACCCTTCCAACTGTCTTTAGTCTTTCCATTAATATTCATTAATTTGCTGAGCACATTATCACATACATTCTTCTCTATGTGCATGATATCCAGTTTATGTCGTTGTTTTAGGGTTTTTCGATATGGCAATTCGAAGAAAATGCTCTTCTTTGTCCAATTCAAATCACTTTCTTGACGTTTCCTCTTTTTCTTTTGGATTAGTTCAGGGGCCTTACCGAAAACAACTTGATCAATAGCATTCAAATATTTCAATATTTCATCACTAGATAACGGTTCAACTGGTTCCCTAAAGTCTTTCTCACCATCGAATGACNTCGATATGGCAATTCGAAGAAAATGCTCTTCTTTGTCCAATTCAAATCACTTTCTTGACGTTTCCTCTTTTTCTCTTGGATTAGTTCAGGGGCCTTACCGAAAACAACTTGATCAATAGCATTCAAATATTTCAATATTTCATCACTAGATAACGGTTCAACTGGTTCCCTAAAGTCTTTCTCACCATCGAATGACTTAGTCTCCTTTCGCCATCTATGATTAGTTGGTAAGAAACGACGATGTCCCATGTAACAACACTTCTTTCCATTTAGCAAATATTTGGAGGAAGTCTCACTCATGCAAACTGGACATGCCATATACCCTTTGGTGCTCCATCCAAACAAGTTAGCATAAGTGGGAAAATCATTGATAGTCCATAGTAGTGCTGCACGCAAGTAAAATTTCTCTTCAGTGTAACCATCGTCTGTTTCAAAGCCAGCTGCCCATAATTATTTTAACTCATCAATTAACGGTTGTAGAAATACGTCGATGTCATTTCTTGGAGAATTTGCTCCTGGAATAATCATGGACATCATGAGAAAAGGATCCTTCGTACATTTCCAAGGAGACANATCTGCCCATAATTATTTTAACTCATCAATTAACGGTTGTAGAAATACGTCGATGTCATTTCTTGGAGAATTTGCTCTTGGAATAATCATGGACATCATGAGAAAAGGATCCTTCGTACATTTCCAAGGAGACAAATTGTATGGTATAAGAAGTACTGGCCAAATGCTGTAAGCATTACTCATGTTGCCAAAAGGATTGAAGCCATCACTTGCTAGACCAAGCCTAACATTGCGAGGATCCTAGGCAAATAACTCATGTTTTTTATCAAAATTTTTCCATGCATCGGAATTAGCAGGATGCCTTAACACATTATCCTCATTGATACGTTTGTCTTTATGCCAACTCATATCACAAGCAATGTTCTTATTTATAAACAACCTTTGCAGTTTTGGCTTCAATGGAAAATAACGCAATACCTTTTAAGGTATCTTCTTAGATCCTTCAAACTTCCATCTTGAGCTCCCACATTTTGGAAACTTATCCAAATCCTTATAATCGTTCCAAAAGATTTCACAATCAATCACACAAGAATCTATCTTCACGTAGTTAAGGCCCAAGTCAATAATTACCTTTTTTGACTCNACACTTATCCAAATCCTTATAATCGTTCCAAAAGATTTCACAATCAATCACGCAAGAATCTATCTTCACGTAGTTAAGGCCCAAGTCAATAATTACCTTTTTTGACTCATAATACGATTTAGGAAATGTACCACACATTGGAAAAACATCCTTCAATATTTCAAACAACATGTCAAAGCACTTATTGCTCATGCGATACATCATTTTTAAATGAAGCAGCTTCATAAGAAAAGATAGCTTAGAAAACTTCTTACATCCCGGATAAAGTTCTTGCTCTGCATCATTCAGCAATTTAAGAAATGTATCCACTTCTCCTCCATCCACATGAACACCTTGTTTAATAGATTCTTCTCCAACGCCCCAATTGTCCCCAAAATGACTAGTGACAATATCATCTATCATACCATGCATATCATCAACTTCATTACCTTGCTCACAGTTCTCCTCAACACCCTCATCATTAGTAAAATTGTTTTCAAAGTCTTCGCCATGATATATCCACCTAANCCCCGCAATTGTCCCCAAAATGACTAGTGGCAATATCATCTATCATACCATGCATATCATCAAATTCATTACCTTGCTCACAGTTCTCCTCAACACCCTCATCATTAGTAAAATTGTTTTCAAAGTCTTCGCCATGATATATCCACCTAACATAACTCTTAACTATTCCGTGCATCAATAAAAACCTTTCAACAACTTCTCGAGTGTATTCACAAAAGTTGTTACACTTCATATAAGGACATGGGATCGTACAAAGTGGTTCTTTATGGGNTCCCGTGCATCAATAAATACCTTTCAACAACTTCTCGAGTGTATTCACAAAGTTGTTACACTTCATATAAGGACATGGGATCGTACAAAGTGGTTCTTTATGGGCATATGCAAATTGGAGGAATTCTTTCACTCCCAATTGAAAAGTATGATGCAATCTATTCTTTTGCAGCATCCAACTCCTATCCATACTTGTAATCCTACACAATGAACAAATTCAACTTTGCAATAACCTATCCAATTGACCTCAACACATTAGACGAAAAAAATGGTTCAAAACAATAGTTTCATGCATGATAATGATAACAATTTTACCCTTTCTCATGAAAGCAATGAAATTTCTAGCAACTAGCCATCAATTTTAAAAAAACAAAAGTAACGACAATGAAACACTAATAAAAAAATAGCACTAGTGAAAACAAAAACAAAACTCCGTCCCACCTACANACGATAATGATAACAATTTTACCCTTTCTCATGAAAGCAATGAAATTTCTAGCAACTAGCCATCAATTTTTAAAAACAAAAGTAACGACAATGAAGCACTAATAAAAAAATAGCACTAGTGAAAACAAAAACAAAACTCCGTCCCACCTACATGTAGCAGGCTGCAAGCTTGATAACTAAAACATTTTACCATTCAACTAAACAATTCCCCTCTACCATCAATTAAAAACTCCTCAAAATTGTTAAATATAATATAAATAATACATACACACATATATCTATATTATAAAATAACTCATACTTTAAATTTTATCACACAAATATTTTTTCCTTCAAAACTATTATTTGTCATNTCGTTACGCCGTGCCTTCAGGCATGGACAATTACTAGTCTATATTATAAAATAACTCATACTTTAAATTTTATCGCACAAATATTTTTTTCCTTAAAACTATCATTTGTCATTTAGCTCGCATCATTCCTTTGTCAGACGCCATCTTGCCCTTCTCCATCTCTTTTTTTTTTTTTTTTTCNTATATTATAAAATAACTCATACTTTAAATTTTATCACACAAATATTTTTTCCTTCAAAACTATTATTTGTCATTTAGCTCGCATCATTCCTTTGTCAGACGCCATCTCGCCCTTCTCCATCTCTCTTTTTTTTTTTTTCCTTTTTCTCTCTCTCTCACCAGTGCCAACGACATAGTCATCGCCACCGCCATCGCCACTGCGCCACAACCTTCCTCTTCTTTCCTAGGTATCCTCTTATCATCTTCTTTCTCTCACACACACCCAGATAACACCCCCAACCCCCAACTCTCCCCTCTGCGAACACTGCCCCCACCCAAGCTTTCCCCCTCTTGGAAAAACCCCCTCTACGTTTGAACCTCTCCTCTTATACGCCCTCTGCGCAACCTTCCCCCTACACACACAAACACAAACAGAACACACACCACAACACACTAAAGACATACACCCACGCTCTTCACACACCCACACACTCATGGGTTCTCTCTCTCTTAGCCTACCAGCGCCACCGTCACCAGCAAAGCACCACCGTCACCGCCATAACACCATTGTCACAACAACACAGCACCACCGTCAAGACCACAACCATCTCCTAGGTAATTATCTCTATCCCCTCCCCTTCCCTCTTTTTGCCTACCACTAAAATGTTTGTTGAAATGCCCAAAACATAGACCCCAATCATAATGCCCATAAATTGTTTGTTGAAATGCCTGAGAACACACGAACACACAAATCAAACCCACAATGTGCACACCCTATACCCTCACACACCATTATGTGTTGACACACTGCTGTCTACAAGCACATCTCTTTCCCACCCTCTCCCTTGCTTCTTCTACTCTTTTCCTACACAAACAGTACACACCCAAACCCCCCAACCATCACATACCCAGACCCACACAAAACCCCTCAGCCAAATTTGAGTGTTAATTTGGATTTTTTTAATTTGAGTGCTTTCAATTGGGGTTTTCCATTAAGGGATATATGTGTGCGTGTGTGTGTACTCCCCCTCCACTCTTTTCTGTTCTTCCTCTTCTTTACAATAAAAACACAAATACATCAGACACACATTGCACCCCATCGCACACATAGCACATATACACACAGAATTGCACACCCATTGGACACACACACAGAATGCACACAACACACACACAACTGAGAGTTTTATAAGGGCAGAAGATTACATGATGTTTTAGGTTCAAAGGCTATGAGCAAACTATCTGTTGTGTCTTGTCAATGTTTATTTTCCATGTTATTCTTTTTAGGACATTGCTTCTTAGGCCTTCTTAATATGAGGGGGTTCAATTTGGGCAAAAATGAAAATCACAAAGCATCGCAAGAGGGTTTATTAGGGTTTTTTAATTGTAAGAATCAAATTACATGCAATATTTTTTATTCCATCTTTTTTAGTTGGGGCATTTGAGTTTTTAGAATTTTAATTTAATTGCATCATTTTTATCTTGCTCTCATTTTTTGTTATTGAGTTCAAATGCTTATTTCTTAGTTTTTTGCCATTGCTTTTGGCACAAGGACGAAAATTTTTGGTCCTGAAAATTTGGAACCATTACCAATGACTCAATGAGATTTAAANTGTTATTGAGTTCAAATGCTTATTTCTTAGTTTTTTGCCATTGCTTTTGGCACAAGGACAAAAATTTTTGGTCCTGAAAATTTGGAACCATTACCAATGACTCAATGAGATTTAAAAACTTAAGGTTCAAATGAACCCCAAACCTTTGCATTTGCTTAAGGTTTAAAGACTCTGTTTAATGTAATTGGTATTGTAGATTATCCTTCTTGATTCTTGGTAATTGGAATTGATTTTTGTTATAATGTAACTTTTGTATGGTACCAAGATTTATATATTATCCTTCTTTTTTTGGTAAGTTTTAATTGGTATTGTTGATTATGCTTCTTGATTCTTGATAATTAGTATTGATTTTTATTATAATGTAACTTTTATATGGTATCAAAATTCATATAGTATCCTTTTGTTTTTGGTAAGTATTGTAGATTATCCTTTTTTGGTGAGATTAGAGCCCAACCTCCTTGGGATAGCCATGGCCAATCCATGTGGCACCTTTTATAACTTCACACCAATTGGTATATTTTGCTAGAATGAGCAGATAAGGGTTGTAAAACAATTGGGAAGGAGAATGGCTTGATGGGGAGGTGAGCATTGAGTGATGTATTGTGAAAGAGCCCTTTGTGCCGTATATGAACTACATCCTCATTCGCTGAAATATTGAGGCCATTACAAATCAGATCATGCATTAATTTGTGCTTTGTATTGTTCATATTTGTTATAATTGATTTTAGGTGGACATCCAATTGTTATAAGTTGTTTATTTGATTGATTTTTCTCCTTGATGTTCACTAAAAGTGGCCATTTCAAATTCCTCGCGAACTTTGTAGGATTGCCACTCAAATTTTTCTTTGTTGGTTGCTTCTTAGCATTTTTGTTTGCAGATTATTGCAAGGTCTGCAAATGGAATCACAATTGCTAATTTGCTTGAAGTTTGAAATCACAGCCCCGGTATCGAATTATTTTTTGCCGACAAGTTTGATGTCTGATGCTTATTGAAAATATTTATTTTCCTTTATTTTTTCACCCCTGTTTTGCACTGAATTTGTCCAGTCAAATGGTCTAAAACACTGTGCATATTAATTTATTTATCAATATCACTGTAATTTTGGTTGGATAAGGAGGATATTGTTGTTTGTTAGTTTATTTATCAGCCCCTGTTTGTTGATTGATCTCTTGAGCTTAAGTGAGCTAAATGATTTTATTGAATTTCAAGTTTTTATCTTTCTTGAACTCCACAAATGATTATGATTCCCTCATTGAGTATGATGTTCCTAACTTTTATTCCTTGATTTGTGGGGCCATTGTATTGAAGATAGCATGAACAAGAAAAAATTAAGAAAGAAAATCTTGGCATTAGGTCAATGTTTTTCGAGTAAGCCTCATATCTTGTTACATGATATGTTGTTATGACTTCAATCTCTCGGCAAATATCCATATCCAATTGAATCCAAAGTTGAATGGCGTGTTGTGGCATGTGTTTCTGTAATATGATATGGTAAGGTTATGAAAACAAGAATGATTCTAAACATTCCTTAATTGCCACTAATTCTTGGCAGTCCCAAATTTGTTGGTGGGCTATTTTAGTAGATGTATGAATCAAAGAAAAATTCAAAAATTTAGCATAAGGATAACTTTTTGTTGGGTCCTATTTTTTTAGTTAATGATGGATGGTTACAATGAGCAAAAATTGAAAAAAACTAAAATGGAAAGAATAAGCTAGGGGAAAGAGGAAATTTCTAAATCCTTTACAGTTCCAACGTCAATTATTGTTGTGATTATATCAAGTTGTCATTGGTGGCTATAAAAAAAAGATATAAAATAAGCATTTGTGATAAGAGTAGTTTTATTGTAAATACTTATTTTTGCTATTCTTTTGCATAAAATATTTTGGCATGTTGTTTATAATATGCACTTAGGTTCCAGATAATAGAGGAATGAAGTTTTTGTGAGATACATGAGGTGACAGTACGAGTGTAAGAGGTAAAAATATGAGATGACACTTTTTCCATGAAAGGTCAGTTATATAGGTTTTAATAGGAATGTTGGATTCGTTCTTAATGTTGCAGATGCTGCGATCAAGTGATACCATCAGGGAAGGAAATATAAGGGACACGTAAGAGAAAAGATAAAGACTTCAATGTAAAGCTCATTGCTTGGTATAGGTGAATTGACTTGCAAATCTGATTGATTACGTTGAATATATGTGTCTGTGTAGGTCATGCTAATGGTTTCAATTTATAAGCTATTGAGGAAGGATGAGATAGTAATATGTACACCGGTGTTTGTCTCATATAATGAGAAGAAAAGAGAAATTTGTTCCTTGCATTCCTTGGCAACATAAGTGAACTATTAGTTCTAATATTTTGGCTTCTCTTTTTTTTTTTTTTTTTTT